GTGAATGTGAAATACATGCACCTGTATTGCTGACATGAAGTGATGCAGCCCTGTAGGGAAGTGAATTTGTAGAACATAAAGAGAATAATTTTAAAAGGGCATTGTCTTTGACTCAGTGGATCTGCAAGTCCAGAATTTAGATATAGTTTTATAAGGTAAAAGTTCTTATTCCCAAAGTAGCTCATCAAATTATGCCCAGGAGCACAGTGTTGGCTAAAGAGATGGTGATATACCCACATCAGGCATGTATGAAAGCCGGTTTTTTTCTCCCAGTTTTATTGAAACATAAGTGACATACAGCGCTGTATATACGTTTAAGGTGTAGAGCCTAATGATTTGACTTACACGTCTCATGAATTGAGTACCACAGGAAGTTTAGTGAACATCCACCATCTCATGTAGATATAAAATTAAAGAAATAGACAATTTTCCCCTTGTGATGGAAACTCTTAGGATTTACTCTCAACTTTCACATGTAACATACAGTAGTGTTAATTGTATTTATTGTGTTATACATTACATACCTAGTACTTATTTGTCTGATAACAGGAAGTCTGTACTTTTGAACAACATTCATATAATCCCCTTCCCCAACCTGTCTCTAGTAACCATGAGTACAATCTCTTTTTCTATGAGTTTGTTAGTTTCTCTGTTTACTTGTTTGTTTTTGCAATGTAATTGCCCTACAGCACTGTTAGTTCCTGTTACACAACATAGTGATTTGGTATTTCTAGACATTTCAAAAAGATCACCATGATAGGTCTAGTTCCCATCTGTCACCATACAATAATACATACTTACATTATGTATGAATACAGTATACATAATATATAATAACATATAATATTGACTATATTCCCCACAGTGGATGTTTCACACCTGTGACTAATTTTTTTTTTTGGTAATTGGAAGTTTGTACCTCTTAATGTCTCTCCCCATTCCTCTCTTCCCTCCAACCCAACCACCACCTGTTTGTTCTCTGTATCTATGACTGTTTCTATGTTGTTATGTTTGTTCATTTGTTTTGTTTTTTAGATTTCACATATATGTGAAGTCATACGGTATTTGCCTTTCTCTGTCTGACTTATTTCACTTAGCGTAATAACTTCTAGGTCCATCCATGTTGCTAAAAATGGCAAAACTTCATTCTTTTTTATGGCTGAGTGTGTGTGTGTGTGTGTGTGTATCTCACATTTATATCCATTCATCTATTGATGGACACTTAGGTTGCTTCCATACCTTACGTATTGTAAATAATTCTGCAATGAACATGGGGTACATATATCTTTTCAAACTGGTGTTTTTTGTTTTCTTTGGATAAATACCCAGGAGTAGAACTGCTGGATCATATGGCAGTTCTATTTTTAATTTTTTTGAGGATTCGCCATAGTGTTTCGCACAGTAGCTGCACCAGTTTACATTCCCAACAACAGTGCATGAGGGTTCCCTTTTCTCCACAGCCTCACCAATACTTGTTATTTTTTGCCTTTTTAGTGATAGCCATTCTCATTGTAGTTTTGATTTGCATTTCCCTGATGATGACTGATGTGGAGCATCTTTCTATGGGCCTGTTGGCCATCTCTAGGATTTCTTTGGAAAAGTGTCTATTCAGGTTCCCTGCCCATTTTTTAAATAGGATTGTGTTGGTTTGATAATGAGTTGTATGAGGTTTTTATACATTTTTAATATTAACCCCTTATCAGACATAGCATTTGCAAATCTCTTCTCATACTCAGTAGGTTGCTTTTTCATTTTTTTGATGGTTTCCTTCACTGTACAGTAGGTTTTTCATTTGATACAGTCTCATTTGTTTAGTTTGGCTTTTGTCACTCTTGCCTGAGGACACAGATCCAAAAACAATATTGCTAAGACCAGTGTCAAAGGGCATAGTGCCTGTGTTTTCTTTCGGGAGTTTTATGGTTTTAGGTGTTACATTTAAGACTTTAATCCATTTTGATTTTATTTTTGTATATGGTGTAAGAAAAAAAGTAGTCTGGTTTCATTCTTTTCACATGTAGCTATCCAGTTTTCCAAACATCACTTATTGAAAAGGCTGTCTTTTCACAATTGTATATTCTTGACTGCTTTGCCCTAGATTAATTGACCATATAAGTGTGAGTTCATTTCTGCGCTCTCTCTTCTGTTCCATTGATATGCCTTTTTTTTTTTTGTGCCAGTATCATAACTGTTTTGATTACTGTCGCCTTGTACTAGAGTTTGAAATTCAGGAGCATGATACCTCCAGCTTTGTTCTTCCTTCTTAATATTGTTTTGGCTATTCTGGGTCTTTTGTGTTTTCATTCAAATTTTAAAAATATTAGTTCTAGTTCTGTGAAAAATGCCATGGGTATTTTGATAGGAATTGTGTTGAACCTGTAGATTGGTTTGGAGAGTAGGGTCATTTTAATAGTATCATTTCTTCCAATCCGTGAGCATGGTCTATCTTTCCATTTGTTTGTGTCATCTTCAGTTTTTTCATCAGTGCCTTATAGTTTTCTGAGTAAAAGTCTTTTATCTTCTTCATTAGATTTATTCCTAGGTATTTTATTCTTTTTGATGTGATTGTAAATAGAATTTTTTCTAAGTTTCTCTTTTTGTTAGTTCATGTTTAGTGTATAGAAACAACAGATTTCTGTATATTACTTTTGTATCCTACAACTTTACTGAATTCATTGATTAGTTCTAATGTTTTTTAGTGGTGTCTTCAGGACTTTTCTATATATAGCATAATGTCATCTGCAAACAGTGACAGTTTTACTTCTTTTTTCTTTCCAGTTTGGATTCCTTTTCTTTTTCTTCGTTGGACTGCTGTGGCAAAGACTTCTGGTACTAAGTTAAATAAAAGTGGTGAGAGTGAGCATCTTTGTCTTGTTCTTGACCTTAGAGGAAATGCTTTCAGCTTTTCACCACTGAATATGATGTTATCTGTGGGCTTGTCATATATAGCCTTTATTATGTTGGTTTGTTCCCTCTATACCCATTTTGTTCGGAGTTTTTAATCACAAATGTATGTTGAATTTTGTTAAACGTTCCTTCTGTATCTATTGAGATTACCATATGATTTTTATTCTTCAATTTGTTGATGTGTTTCACACTGATGATGTGCAGATATTGAGCCACCCTTGAACACAAGGCGTAAATCCCACTTGATCATGGGCATAGTGTATGTTCCTTTTAACGTACTGTTGAATTCGATTTACTAATATTTTGTTGAAGAAGTTGCATCTATGTTCATTAGCGATGTTGGCCTGCAATTTTCTTTTTTTGTGGTATCTTTGTCTGGCTTCAGTATCAGGGTAATGTTGACCTTTTGTAATGAGTCTGACCCAGGCTCCTTTCAAATTACTGTTGCTGCCCTGGGTCTCAGAGTATGTGAGATTTGTGTGTGTCCCCTTACGAGTGGAATCTCTATTTTCTTTAGGCCTCTGGCTCTCATAAAAGTTAGCCCCTTGGCCTTCTAAGCCAAATGTTCTGGAGGCTCGTCTTCCCTGTACAGGACCCCTGGATTCGGGATTCTGATGTAGGGCTTGCACCCTCACTCCTGAGGAGAATCTCTGCAATCATAATGTTTGTGGGTTCCTTACCCAAGGGTATGTATGGATCTGGACTATACCACATCCCTGCCCCTCCTACCCATCTCACTGTAGTTCTTTCTTTATATCTTTAATTACACAAAATATTTTCTGCTAGTCAGCTATCACTCTCATTGATAGTTCCTCTGTATAGTTGTAATTTAGGTGTGCCCGTGAGAGTAGGTGAAATCTGGGTCTTCCTACTCTGCCATCTAGGCCACTCCCGTAAAAGTTGATTTTTTGAAGACCCTCTAGTAACTTGGAAAATACATATGCCACACTATTAATGCTCAGAATTCTAATTCAGGATGAGCACTGAATATGTACAAACTGAAAATACAGATTTCCATGTCCCATCTAAAAAGATTATGCCTCGGTTAGACTAGGGTGTGGCAGGGCAATGGATTTTGGAAGAACTCTCCAAGTAATTCTTCTATTCTTCCCTATATAAAATTCTGAATTAAATGAAAAAAAGAAGAATGTCAAGTGTCATTTATATTTCAACTTTAATTTGGTAAAACATCTGATTGCATGTGGATAGGGACAAGGAAGGAAGAGGGCCCTGTATCTAGATGAATTGGAAATAAGCTCCCTCCTCTAAAACACCAACCAAAATTAGAACCATATTTGAGGATGCTAGGACTGCAAGCAGTATATAAATAATGTGTGTAATTTAATTTAATATAATGGTATTTTAAGATATGAATTGAGTGGTGTTTTCTAGCTGTTAGTTTTGCCAAATATCAATGTGGAAATTAGCCTTCTGCAGCTGCAGAGGCAACTGAATTCCCAGCTTGCTTGCATGTGTCTCAATCCCTTTTTAGAGCCATAACGTGGCCCAAGCATCACTGATCCACAGCTCTCAAAATCACCTAAGCTAGAGACAGTCCAACAGCTTTGGACCACCTGCTGAGGGAGGCCGGCAGCATGGCAGGAAGACCCCTGATCTGGAGACACAAGAGATTCAAGGTCTGGTTTTGACTTGCTGCTAACCCACTAACTGATCTTGGGTGAAGTCCTTCACCTCTGCAGATTACTCTAAAATGAGAGGTCAGGGGTCCGAACTTAAACACCTTAAGGGGGTGGGTAATATCAGTGAGTGAAATGGGCCAGGAATGAGACCAAGGGGAAAAGTGGGGACTGTGGAAAGTTGAGAGCTCATGCTTTGTAAGGGGATAGTCACGTTTCAGCTCCTGCAGGTGGTTCTACAGGGTCACTGAGAATAGTTATGAAGGTCTTGCACTGCACAAGGACACTGCTTCAGAGAAGGTGTCCTTCACATCACAGATGTAGATATTTTCTGTAGCAGGCTTTCAGGAAAGGATACCTACTAATTCCCACAAAGGTGCTATACGGCCTTTCAGAAGCTCTGGTTACCGTGTGGGAATGCAGCTCCAATGTTGCCAGATCTGTTTTGTTTTGTTTTGGTTGTTTTTTCCTGGAGAAGCTGGAAATACGTCTTTTAATGTGAAATTTCCCTTATTTAAAATTAGGTGGAACTAATTCCAAAACATACTTGACATTGTGTGAGCTAAACAAAACTCTTCTGGGGGCCAGATTCAGGCTATGAGTTGGAGATCTCTGGCCCAGATGAACTGTAAGTTACTGACATTTCAGAGACCCTCCTATTCTATGCACCTCATGTAATTCTGAAGGAATCAGAAAGAAATACTAATTACCTGGGTAAATTATATAGATGCAATAGGGATTATACAGATATAAAAAGTAAAAGTGCATCCTTTGAATGACTGTATATACAACACTCTCCCCACCCCATCTGGTTAACTTTAATTCATCCTTTCTTATTACAAATGTTATTTCTCCAGAGAGAACTTCCTAAGACTTTCACCTAAATTAGGTTCCCCTGTTCCACTTTCTTAGAACAACTTACTCTTTCTGAGTGAAGTTATCAACTTCATATCACAGGATAGTCACTTGTGTGAATGTTTGCTTACTGTCTGTTTACTCACCATTTGGTGCAGAGTATGCCTTTGTTCACCATTGTATCCTCAGTGGGGATATTCTTTGTATACATTGGGTACCCATTGTAGATTTACTGAATGATGGATTAGTCTCTACCCCATCAGGAAAACATCTTTTCTTCTTGGTGTCCTTGACCTGACTTTGCTGCCTGGTGTTTGACTTCTGGGTTTCTGACCTTGGAGGACGTCTGTTTTCCATCACTTAGAGGGAGAGTCTTTGGCATGTCCCCTCCCCCACATATCTCCTGAGCCAGAGAAGAGACCCAGTTCAAGGCAGTGATGTTCAGGATGTCCATGCTTAGACTGCGGCTGAAATCCCCCAGGATAGGGCTTGGAGGACTCGTATTTTAGGTAACAAACACAGACACCTTCTCTGGTAGAGTCTACTTCATCTTGGATGCTGGGGTTGTGAGGGGAGTTTTCAGCCCAGAATTAAATTCTGTTCCCTGTACAGATTTTACATTATGATTTTATTTCATATAAGTAACAAGGTCATTATGGTGACAACTAATGGGCCAGTCCTCCTGCAAATTTACTGAAGAAATCTGGTATCCTTCCAAGGCAAATTGCATTTTGATGTTGAAAATAATTCTCCGAGGATCATCCTCAATCCCTACAACATCAGCTAAAGCAGCTGATTTCATAAGTAGCTAAAGATGAAACTAATGATTGTGGCAGAAATCTCAGAAGGAGAAAGGAAAACCAAAATCACGCAAAGATAACTTCTCAAGGAGCAAAAGAGAAAAAGAAAGGCAGAAGCAGAGAAAGGAAGGTTAAGGAAGAAAGAGGACCGAGGAGTGCTCCGGCCATGGACATCATCAGGGGGATGTCTGTCCAAAACTGCAGCTCCAGCTCTTTCAGTCTCCGTCCCACGCTCATGTTCAAGTCCAGCTGCAAGTACTCCTCGGTCTGACTGTAGACTGGCCACAGAGGCAGGCCTTCCCCATTAGGGTCCCTGGAAATGAGAGCAGGAATGGGTGAGATTTTAGTCCTCAAACGCTTCAAACACTCAAACTACAGGGGAAGCCACAAGGTTCACTTACCCAGTCCGAGCAAAGTTAGCCCAGTATCTCATCATCTTCCTGCTCAGCCATTGCTCCTCCTCTGTGGCTCCTTCTGAAGGAGATAATCACAAAATCCCACACTCCTCATGATTTGGTAGAAGCCAAAGGGTCCTCACATTTTATGAATCACTTTCACACTTTTCCTCCCATGGCATCCTTAACAGCCTAGCTACTCACGTATTCAACTTGTATTTGCAGATACTGAGGCTCAGAGCAACACTGACTTGCCCAAGGAATCATGGTTCCAAACGGCAGAGGCTGAACACACACCTTTCCTGTCCACCCAATGCTCTTCCAGCCCTTTTCATGGGACTGTAAGTTCCTTGGGGACAGAGACATCTCTCTCAATCTTTCTCTCTTGCTCGCTCAACCAATTAATTGTTGCATTTCTCTCACTCAATCAATTATTGCTTTCTTTATTTGAAAAGGAAATACTTGCTCAAAGTATAAAATTTAAAATGCAGAAGTATCAGATGAAAGTCAGTTTCTCCCCATCTCTTCCCTCTAGTCACCAAGTTATCAGCCTCAAAGGCAACCATGGTTACCACGTTCTTGAGCGCACTTCCGAAGGAGTTTAGACATGCACAAGGGTTTAAGCAGACACCTTTTCACACACTTGATAGTATAATGGACATGTATTCTACATCTTTCTCTTTCACAAGAATTATACCCAGGACTTAGTTTCACATTGCCGCCCACGAAACTCCAATTTATTGCTATTTGTTGTTCTACATATGTATAATATATAAATATATATGTATACGTAATTAGATGTAAATATATAATTCATGTATCCAGTACTCTATTGATGGATCTTTACCTTTATTTTCTGTCTTCTTGTAAAAGCAGTGTTTTAGCCTGTGCATATATTTTTGCACATGTGGAAACACAATTGCACAAAAAAAATCCTAGAAGTCGAATTGCTGGACTAACGCCTACATGCATTTTAAATTTTGATAGCGTTTCCATTGATATATGAGGTTGTCTATTTCCCCCCACCTGCTCAAGTACATTATGTAAAATGTTCTTTCCAACCTTGGTCTATGAAAAATGATTTCTGCGGTCAAGGTTAGTTTTTAATCTTCTTTGCTATGAGTGAGGTTGAGTGAATTTTTATGTTTAAAAGCCACTTGTGTTTCCTTCCCCGTAGACTGTCTATTTATATCCATCACCCCACTTTTGACTGGGTTGTGCTTTTCTCATTGATTTTAGGAGCGCTTTAGATATTAAGGAATTTAACCCCTTGATACATACATATGCTGTTCATTTTGTCCCTTTATGAGAGTCCATGTGCCCACATGGTACAGGCTCAGTGATAGTTACTGAATAATAATAACAGTAATATTTATTAAGCAGTCATTGTGATTGATGAGAATTGTTTCATTAATCCTTATGACAACCTAGGAGGTAGTTCTGTTATTATTGGCATTAAAAGACATGAAAAAAATAAATGAAACAATGAATAAACCACACTGCACAAACAACACAATACAGGAGAGGTTCTGTCCTTATCATCAAGAGGCCAGCATGCACTGGTTAAGAGCCTGCATTGTGCAATTTTTTAAACTAAATATGTTAGTCATATCTCCTGTGTGTAGTTCCTCTTTTTTTAAATTTTGATAACCTCATTTGATTGGCTTATTATTTTAGGCACTGTGCAGGTCATAAATTCAGGAATAAATGAGCTAACCTCACTAGAAACAGTTCATAAGCATTTACATCAGATCACCTGGACTGAGACCACTTTCAGCTGCAATTATGAAAAATACGTTTCTTGCCTTTGAAAGCCCTGAGTGGTATCCTCATGGGAGCTCTGGGAAGGGCAGGGACGGTGAGACCGGTGGTCAGAGAGAAGGCAGTAAGTGGTTTTATTTTTTCGAAAAGATCAGATTGCATGAGTGCCCGCAAGTGCCCACCCTTGTAGGCTTTAGTCCAGAGAAACACTCATCAAGCAAATGTTGGCCCCTCTTTTTCATCTTGGTTTCTGAAAATACAAGTGGGGACACTCTCCAGGGAAAGGTTGTGTCTGTAAACCATAAAGTCCAACCTGCCAGTCCTCCCAGGCTCTTGCATAGTGTTGGTGTGGGTGAGGCTTTGTGCTAACAGTAGGCAGTCTCATCTTCTCCCCAGCTCATCCCAAGCTTGTGTTCCTGCAAGAGCAGGAGCCCCTGAGGCCAGTTCCTTACCAAACATGACAATGTCGCCCTTCAGGAAAGCACCTCCAAAGACAAAGCGGATTTCATCAGTGTGATCAGCTTTGACAAAAGCCGGTTTCTTGTCCTTTAAGCACTGGGGCCGGTGCTGAAACTCATAGAAGTAGACAGGTGCACCGGCATCTGCAGAAAGTTAGGAAGGGTCTGTGGCAGGCATGCATGCAGGGGGTAGTGGGGGCTGGTCCTGCATCCCCACCCATTTGTCCTGGATTCACAGACTCATGGGTGGGACAGCCCAGAGATAAGAGGTGACCTGAACCCAGCTAACTTCCCTCTTCCTCATTTGAGGCTAGGGTTTCATGCTACAGTGGCCCTCATGCTCCTAAAGACGGAAGTCACTACCTTTCAGGGCAGCCTCAGAGGACAACAGTTCTACTTCTCAAAAACAAAAACAAAAAACCCTTTATGCTGATCCAAGTTACCTCCATATGACTTCTTTTCATTGACCCTGGTTCTACTAACTGGAGAAAACAGTAGTTATTTCCTGCTCCCAAGATGCTCTGTGCATCCTACGTTTCCTCACCGCTATTCTAGTGCAGGTCTTTGCTCTGTAATTTCCCCTCTCTTTCTCTGCATCATCAATTTCTCTCTACTGGATTATTGCCCTCAGTAGCAAATATTTTCTCCCATTCTGTGTATGGGTTGTCTTTTCACTTTCTTATTTTGTCCTTTAATGCATGATAATTTTTAATTTTGATGAAGTCCAATTTTTTTTTTTTGGTTATGATTCTGCTGTTATATTTAAGAGCATTGCCAAATCTGAGGTCATGGAAATTTATCATATTTTCTTCTAAGAGGTTTACAGTTTTAGCTCTTACATTTAGGTCTTTGATCCATTTTGAGTTAATTTTTGTATCTGGTGTGAGGGTAGGGTTCAATTACATTCTTCTGCATGTGTTATCCAGTTGTCCCATCACAATTTGATAAAAAGACTATCTTTTCCCCCATTGAATGGTCTTGGCAGCCTTGTGCAAATCAACTGACCATAGATATATAGGTTTATTTCTGGACATTGTTCTATTTGTCCATTCTTATGCCAGTAACACATCACCTTGATTACCATTGCCTTATAGTGGGTGAGTTTTAAAGTCAAGAACTATGAGTCTTCCAACTTTGTTCTTTTTCAAGATTATTTTGGCTATTTTGGGGTCCCCTGAAATTCCACATGAATTTTAGCTTGTCTGTTTCTGAAAAAAAGGAAGTTGGCATTTTGATAGGAAGTGCATTAAATTTGGGGAATATTGCCATTTACCATTTATTCTTTCATTTCTTTCAGGAATAACTTATAGTTTTCAGTGTACATATCTTGTACCTCCTTGGTTATATTAATTTCTAAGTATTTCATTCTTTTTGATGTTATTCTAAATGAAGTTGTTTTCTTAATTTCATTTTTTGATTGTCCATTGCTAGTGTGTAGAAACATAATTCATTTTTGTATACTGATCTTGTATCCTGAAACTTTGTTGAATTTATTTATTCTCATAGCTTTTTGTGGGTTCTTTAAACTTTTCTACACATAAGATCATGTCATCTGTGACTAGAGAGAGTTTTGCTTCTTTCTTTCTAATTTGGTTTCCTTTTAATTTGATCTAATTGCCCTCTACTAGAACTTGAATAGAAATGGTAGGAAGAAATATCTTTATCTTGTTCTTGATCTGAGTGGGAAAGATTTCAGTCTTCACCGTTAAGATATCAGCTGTGGGTTCTTCACATAAGTCCTTGATCAGTTTGAGCAAGTTCATATGTATTCTAGTTTATTGAGTGTTTTCACTGTGAATGTGTGTTGAATTTTGTCAAATGCTTTTTCTGCATCTATTAATTGTGTTTTCCCAAATTCTATTACTATGGTAGATTATATTGATTGATTTTCATGCTGAGCCTTGCTTATATTCCTAGGATAAATCCCAATTGGCCATGGACTATAATCCTTTTAATATGCTGCTAGATTCAGTGGGGAGGGTTTTGCTGAGGATTTTTTGCATTTATATGCATATGGGATGTTGATCTGTAGTTTTCTGTTCTTGTGATGTCTTTGTCTGGCTCTACTAGCAGGGTAATACTAGTCTCACAGAATGAGTTAGGAAGTATTCCCTCCTCTTTCACTCTTTTGAAGGGGTTGAGAAGGACTGATTTTAATCCTTCTTTAAATGTTTTTTAGAATTCACCAGTGAAGACAATTGGCCCTGAGATTTCCCCTGTTGGTAGGTTTTTCTTATTGATTCAATATCTTCATTTGTCACAGGTATATTTCTTCTTTGAGCTATTGAAATCAGGTGACTTGTAAGTCCTCCACTTTGTTATTCTTTTTCAAGATTGTTTTGGCTATCCCTACATTTCCATATAAATTTTAATTAATTAATTAATTAATTAATTAATTAATTTTTCCATATCAATTTTTGGAATCAGCTTGTTCATTTCTCCAAAACCACTGCTGAGATTTTCATTGAAATTGGGGTTGTATCAAGCATAGAGATCAGGTTGCTAATTTTCTCTTGAATCCATTTTAATCAGACTTTCACCTCCACTGTTTCATCAAAACAGTTCCTTTCAAGATTACCAGTGACCTCCATGTTGCCAAATTTATGAGCCGATTCTTACCTGTCACCTCAACAGGTCTTATAAGTATCCTCCCACAGCACCCTGTCACTACTGTCCCCTATCCTGCTTTATTTTACTGTCCAGCACTTATCACCCATCTAACAAATATGTACTCTGTATTACTTGCTTATTTGTTCTCAGTCTTTCTGATTAGAATGTGAGGTTCTGGTTGCAGGGCCTTTGTTTTGTTCACTGCTATGTCTCTGGGGCCTAGAATAGTGCCAAGCACATAGCAGGCCCTTGATAAAAATATCTGTGAAAAGGAAATAAAAGGAGGATAGAAGAAAGGGAAGAAGGGGAAAGAAGGATAGAGAGAGAGAAAAAAGAAGGAAGGAAAGAAAGGAAAGAAGGAAAAGAAGGAAGGAAAAGAGAGGTAGGGAGGGAGGAAAAGGAGAAAAGAGACAGAGAAAGCAGGAAGGAGGGAGGGAAGGAAGGAAGGAAGGAAGGAAGGAAGGGCAGTTGTGTGTCCTCACAAGTAATCTCTATCTGACTGTCCCACAACTCCTTATAGCTAAGACATTTGGGAAGACACTTGCAAAGAGAGAGGAATGTGGGGGCCAGGCCCCAGAATATTATAGGGAGGTGGGGCTTTTCTACATGGCCCTGAGGAAGCAGACAGAATAGAAACAACAAAGACTGATCAACATTCCTGAACTCTGAAAGGCAGAGGAACGGCAGGGGCCAGCATGCAGGGCTATATCCCAGCCAGCCTTGGGAACTCCCTCTCAGCGAGGGAGCGGAAGGGCAGAACGCGAGGCCAGTCAGCAGGCAACAGGGATTCTCGCAGCCACCCACCTTGCAGGAGAGGGGTGTGAGGAGACTCACCTCTGTGACACTTTGCTGTGACCAGCCCAGGAATCACAAAGAACACATCTCCAAGCAAATCCAGGAAGCTATTTCGTATATCAACCAGGGAGTGCTTGTTGTAGAAGTATTCATTACCCACGAGGTATAAATACTGGATAGGGATGTGCTGTAAAACATCATGGTAGCAAGAGATCCAGGTCAACAGCAATGGCCAACACAACAACAACAACAACAGCCAAATAGTTGCCTTTGCAGGCGTCATTCTGAGTGCTTCATATGCACTGTCTCATTTAATCCACACAGCAACCCTACGATGAAAGTATCACAATTTGCTCCACTTGACAGATGAGGGAACTGAGGTTTAAAGAAGTTAAGTGCTTTGTCCAAAGTAATGGAACCATGGTTCCTTCATAAGTCTATTTGCATCCAAATCCCATTCTCTTAATCACTTGTTCTTGGGGGTCTGGTGCTCTGAGAAACACTGGGATGAGTTATTGCACCTCAAACCCCTAACACTGAGACAGAGGGACAGCCCTTCAGAGGTTTTTTTGGGATTTGGAGACCGCATGTACCATGCCAGGGAGCACTGCTCAGACTCGGCCATTAGGTCCTCCCTAGTGCAGGGACTGAATGAATAAATAATGGGGCAGTGGTCCTTGGTATTGCTGGAACCTAGTACAGTGCCTGGTTGGTATGTAGTGAATACGGGTCCCTAGTCCCAGGTGGTTTTCAGAATTAGAACTTTTCAGTTCCAAGACAGATAATTTAGTACAGATGCTGCATTATTATGTGACATGCTCAGGGGGTGGGGGGATGGGCAGCACCCCAGACCCCACATTAATATGTCTACAGAGAAACATACTAATAGTGTGAAAAAGTGAATGAACATGTAGGAACAATAAAGACCAATGGCTATGTATCAATCTAGGTCAATCTTGGTTGCCATTTGCTACAAAAAGCATTTGAGTTTTCAGAGCTGTTTAGATTCTGTGATTGTGGATAAGGGGTTGCAGAACTCGGCTTAGTAAAGATCTATTGAATGAATGAACGATGAACATCTATACACCCAGCCCTACCCCTGAGTGTGACCCAGGGAGGTTTGTGAAATGAATGGATCTTGGAGAGCCAGGCTCACTCACCAAGACGGAGTGTATCAAATGCAGGGCGAGGGACTTGTTGGAGCCCTCGAGGATCTCAGGAAACTCCTTCTGTAGAAAGAAGTGGGGCGTCCTCCATGAGCACATCATGTCATCAAAAGGGAAACTGGTCTCCCCGAGGACCCAGGCACCCACCTTCCAGAGCGCAGGCTGGCAAGAGCAGAGACCCTTTCAGCCCCCAGGGGTCCACGAGTGAGGAGCTGCCTCAGTGGGTTAGCTGAGCAACAAAGTTTCTCCTTCTCCCATTTGATAAAAGGAAGCCATTCCCTGTCGTATCTGCAGTCAGGTGGGACCTGAGTGGCTGCCCTGTGGAAAGGCCATGTTATGGGAGGACTGCACGCCCCATCAAATTCCTATGTTGAAACCCCAGGACTTCAGAATGTGACTGTATATGGAGAGAGGATCTTTAAAGAGATGATTAAGCTAAACTGAGGACACTAGGGTGGGCCGGATCCAGTCCAACTGGTGTTCTTCCAAGAAGAGGAAACTTGGACGTGCAAAGAGACTCCAGGGGGGTGCACGTGGAGGAAAGAGCATGGGAGGACACAGCAAGAAGGCAGCCATCTGCAAGCCAAGGAAGGGGCCTCAGGGGAAACCAAACCTGCTGACACCTTGATCTTGGACTTCTAGCCTCCAGAACATTGAGAAAATAAATTTCTGTGGTTGAAGCCACCCAGTCTGTGGTATTTTGTTATGGTGGCCCAAGGGAACTACTACAGGCCACAATTTGGCTTCAACAGCAAGTTAAAAGAGAAGCCAGAAAATCTTGAAACTCGTGGTTTGTTGCTCTCTTTCCAAAGACTTTGTCAGTAGGGTCTCTGAGAAGCCAGCAGCTGGCAGGCAGCCAGTGAAGCTGCAAAGCGGATGCTTAAAAACCCAAGTGCTGCTTGGTACATAGTAAGAGCGATGGCAATTATTTTTTAAATGACCCTTCCCTGGCCAATATTACAGCTTAAAGACATGAGGGGGTAGAAATACTCTTCATTTGTCCAATGAATTTCTCTGATATATTTTCTGCTGAAAATCTTGGGGATAATGAATCACTAGGGTAGATAGTTAAACATATCTGCCTTCTGGAATCTGAGGGAACCCCCAGGGTCATTCAAATAATCCACAAGTACATTTCAACTACTGTGAAGCCCCTCTGTATGTTCAGGAGCTAGAATTTGTTTTTGGAGATGTCCTACAGTGTCAAACAGCCAGCAATGGATGTAACTGCAAGTCACTCAGAATAACAGCACCCAGGCAGGCTCTTGGGTTAGGCAGACCTGGCCACCAAATCCTGTTCTGCCACTTGAATAATTCTACGATCTAACATTTACTGAGCACTTACTATATGCCAGGCTATTTGACGTGTACCTGTGAGACAGGTAGTAACATCAGCCCTATTTCAAAGATGAGGGAAAACAGGTTCAGAGAGGTTAGGCAGCTCCCTGAAGGCCACACAGCAGGTGAACAGTGAACCCGGCACTTAAAAGGCAGAGCCTAAATATGTAAAATTTATACACCAGTGTCTCCTCACCAGCTGGGAGACTTAGGAAAGTCACATTAGCCTCTCTGAGCCTCAGTTTCTTTGGCTGCAAAACGGGGATATAATAATGCCAGTTTGCAAGCTGTTGTACAGATAGAGTGCACTTGGCAGATGGAAAGCACTCGATCACAGTGGTTTTGGTAGTACGGCTGTCATCAGTAGCACCTGCCTTCTTTTTTCTAGCACAGATCAAAAGAGCACTAAAAGACCTAACTGAAGCCATAGTCAGTGACTCAGTTAACCTCCTTCAAAACATGAGGAAAAGAATTCCCACCTCCCCCCGTTCCCGGAAACACTGCTCTGTATGCCAAATTAATAATTGGCAGAACATGCCTTTAACAGCCTAGTGAACTTGGGGTTTGGATTCTAGAGCACCACCAGCTGCTTTGTAACCAGACAGACCTTTGTATTTCATAACCTGACTTGCCTCAGCTTGAAAAGTGGAGGCTGGTCTGCAGAGATGGGCTTTGATATATCCTGAACTTGAACACTCCGCTCTTCTGAGGACAGATGACACGCTTATTTTGAATGGGGAGGGTCTTCTCAGACCACAGGTTCAAGAAATGATGGCTTCTACTCAGTATTTAGGCCTCCCAGCTCAAATGATCCACCCTCAGAGAAGCCTTTCCTGACCACCTTTGGCCCCCAGCAGGAAGCCTCCACTTCCCAGTCTGTGTCCTGCGCAGCACTTATACCCTCTGAAACCATCCTTTCAACCTTGCATTTCATCTGTTTCTCCCCTCAGGAATGTAAGCTTGCAGAAAGCAGGAACCATGTGACTTGCTCACTGTTGGATGCTCTTTTTTTAATGAGTGCAGGGCATGTAGTATACACTCGGTTCATACTTGTTGAGTGAAAGAAAAGATTCAATAACTTTGCATCTTTCACTGCTTTCATGAGCAGTCTTGGAAATCAAATGCCAGAACCAAGGCTGGACATCAAAGTGCAAAGGACTGAAGTTTTCTAAACTTGTGTGGATTTCATCTTTGAGGCAGTACCAGTGCTTTTTGAAAACAATCATTTGTAATGTTTTGAATAAAGCTCAAATGGGTCCAATCCTCTCCTATTTTTTCATAGAGTTGTGTCTTTAAACCTACCTGAGGAGCAGGGTAGACACCTGCTAGGGCTGCCTTCAAGCGCAGCTCTCCTCCGTGAGATAGAGTAAAGGTGAGCACTGAGTACTGGGAGAGGGGCTCCAGCCTCAGAACGCTCGGTGTCAGGAATGGTCAGGCCTGGCTGTGAAGCAAGCAGCTGCCTCCCTGCGGAGGGAGCGGGCGGAGGCCCAGCCGAACTCTTACCATGGGCAGCAGGAAGCCACATTCGTGGTTATTGACTCCGATGATAGAAGGAACCGGCTTAAAGGATTTTTGAGTCAACAGGTCTACAGGCTCACGAGGGAAGAAAAAGCCATCAACTACTCGAGTGAAAGACTTGGCTCTCTGAAACAAGGAAGAGAAAAATCAGCAGCTGTTTCCCCTCACAAAATCTAGCCATCCCCAAACCCTAGCCAAGCTGAGCCAACTCACTATAGCAAAAGGCACTAAGAAAAAATTTAGCCACTCTTGGCCCATCCCAGCTCATCCGTGCTGCCTGGCCAGCTCTGCCATTCACTAGGACAAAGGGGCTCAACTTTTTGGGGCCTTAATTTCCACATCTGCTACTTGGGGATGATCATAGTAACTATCTGAGAAATATACTCCCCCAAGATGATGGTTCTCAGAGCCTGGCACCTGGACCAGCAGTGTCAGCATGGTCTGGGGACTTGTTAGAAATGCAAATCCTCAAGCCCCACCCCAGGCCTACTGAATACAAAACTCTGGGGTGGAGTGGTAGGGTTCAGCCCAACAAAAAGCCCTTCAGGTGAGTCTGATGCGTGTGTGGAACCACTGGCCAAATGCAATGGGCAGAGGGGTGAGGGGAGGGGATGGCCAGGGTAGTGTGGGTTGCTGTGAGCATCTTCCCGAGATGTCTTCCTCAACACTGTGTCTTGGATTTAGGTGGATATTTCTTGGGTCTTAGGAAGCAACATCTGGCTCTATCCATAATTTTTTTAGGTCTCTGTTTTAGGAGTGGAGGTAGAAGAGAGCACACAAAAGAGCTTTCACACTACACTGAGTCAAGGACTTATCCATTTCCTGGAGTCCAGCACAACTCACAGTAGATTCTCAATCCATGCCAAATAACTATTTAACAAATGTTGGAATCTGACAGGTAAGGACCTCATTTTCTCCAGGGCAAATTGGACATAAAATATCATCCCATCCAATGAATCATCTGATGATTGGAATTTGTCAGCCGTCATCTAGACCCTGCTTGCATACCTACAGAGGTGGGTATCTCATAGCCTTCTAAAGGAGTTGGTTCTTTTTCAGACAACCGAGTTTTTAGAAAGTTCTTGGTTATCCCAAGCCAAAATGGCTTCCCAACTCCCAGCTCTTGATCTTGACTTTAGCTTCTGGTGGCCTGTGGAGCAAATGTGGTCCCTTTTCCCAGTGAGATGCCTTCAAAGATGTAGGATCTTTGTTGTTTTTTGGATCTTCTCCAGGCTAAGCAGCACCCTGGCCTGTCAGTTTCCTTAAATTACTGATAAGGGTTCTACATTGCTTTTTCACAGCTGTTACTATGAATCCCCAAACCCCAACTTCCCAAGACCCAAATCAAAATAAATACGAGAGTGGCAGTCTACGTCTACCACTCCATTCAAAAGGCAACCTTGTCCCCAGACTCTCCCCTCCCTCTTCACCTGGTTGATGCTCAGCAACTCCTTGGAGGATTTTGCCCTCAGGCACTGCAGCAGGGCCACGGAGTCTGATGCATTGCAGCCACAGATATTTGCAACCATCTGCAACTATTTCCAGAGAAGGAACAGGTCAGCACATAGGATTGAAGGCCTTCAGGAAAATGAAAGTTGGAAAGTGTCCTCAATCCAGCCACAGGCTGGTGCCTTATACATGAAGGCCAGCCTGCTGCTCCTCCCCAACCCCATGTGCCCAGAGTGGAATGTGTGCATTGAGGACAGGCTGGCACTGCATCATCCTTACTCTCTTGCCTGACCCTCCTTGTCATCTTCAGCAAATCACCAGAGCTGAATCAGTCCCAGCTTGTCAGCTCTGCTCAAGCCCCACCCTGACCCCTAGCCTGGAACATATGAACATGCACTGAACATCCTTTCTCTGTCTCTAGACCAATTCCACTCATTCATTAAGGTCCAAGTCCCATCTCCTCCAGGATGTTCTTCTTAGACCTTTTGCAGCTCCCATGAGCCTCTTTCTTATCTAATCTCCTGTAACTCCAAGGATCCTCACCTCCTTTACCTAGCTCTTTGCTAAACACCTTCTTGACCTGTCATTGGACTTTCCACGTGTGTAGTACTTGTCCTCTGAGAGTAGTAGTCCTGACTCTTCTGAGAGTTGTGGATGCTCTGAGAATTCAGTGGAAGCTACAGACCCTCTCCCTGGAAAATGCACAAATATGGAGTCTCCATACATTTGCAGGAGTTCTAGGACCACCTTCCAAACTCCCCATGGATTCCAGGTTAAAAGTCCTCTTCATAAAAAGATTACAGTCTTCTCAATTTAGTATATGCCTTCTCCACTTATAAACCAACCCACGAGTCTTAACATAGAGCTGGGAAAACAATGGGCACTCAATATGTGTACGGTGAATGAATCAGTATATGCACACACTAAAAGTAGCTTAATATATCACATTACCAAAATCAATATTCCCTGTGTATGGAGGGTATTTTTTATCATGTTATAACTCTAAGTTTCTCCCTTTGGTTATATATTGTTATTTTCTACAAGGTGTCAAAGAAAATGCACCACTAAAGCAAACAATACCCAGAAGATGGCTCCACAGTCCAGTGCTTAACTAATATTCATTGAATGAATCAGCTCACTCGTTTTAACTCATTCATTCAGCAAATATTTATGGTTGCCAGACACTATGGTGGGACGTGAAAGACAGAGGGACTTTGGTCTCCCAGCCCTCATATCTGGTAGAGCACTAAGACGAAATAATACATGACAAATATCTAGGGCATTCACCTCCCCCTCACAACCTCATGCCAGACAGCATTAATCAGTCACAGCATTATTTCACACTGAGCTGGAAACAACCTCAGAATCTTTCTTAACACAGTATTCTAGGTAGCATAGAGTAAGCACAGGAGATGGGCCATATATAATGCAGAGGACTGAGTTATATATGACTGGCAAAGAACTATCACACATATGCTTATACACACACACTCAGGCACACCAGCAGTAGTGCACTGTGTATGTGGACCCATTTCCTATGGAATCAGGCCTTCCATGAAGCAACAAGGTTCACCTTAGGCCAGCATCAGATTCTTTGGTCATAGTCAGTAAGGACAGCCAAGCACCTGGTCTATGGACACCTGACCACATTCTCTCCTGACCAAGGAGAGGAAGCTGGAGAAGTGTTGACAATATACCTACATCCTCATTCCTTTCATCATTAGGGGCCTTCAGGTAAGGCATGATGGCCACCCCACTCTCCATGATGGCTTTGTGGAATAACCCTTTGGCCATGGGGGACAGAATCTGGAGAGAGAACACAGAGACCCAGAAGTTATCTGGTGGGCTCCCCACCCATCACACACAACACCCAGCTCTTCTTTAAAGAAAATTTCCTGGGAGGTCCCCTTAAGAGTTCTAACCTTAGAGAAAAAAAAGTCCTGGTTTGGGAGTTCCAAGGACTAGTTGTGAAGGTTTGGGCAAGTTTTCCAAGCTCTCCAAGCCCAGGTTCCTCATGAAGTTGGAAATCAAGCATTCTGGAGGTGAGAATGCTAACTCCTTCACTTCTTGTCCTTGAAATGAGACTGAGCCCCTAACTCAGGATGTATTTGTGAGGCTCCAGGGAGACAATGTGTTTACAAGTGTTTGTTCAACATGAAAGTACCAATTAGATGTGAGTGACTCATTATCCTCATTTTTGTCACCTCCCCAACCGAGGTTCCTTCAAGTCCCAAAGAGAAAAACTCACAAGGCTGGAAACACTTATGGCTCCTGCCGACTCGCCAAAGATGGTCACGCAGTGTGGGTCCCCACCAAAGAACTCGATGTTCTCCTGGACCCAGGTGAGGGCAGCCACCTGGTCCATGAAGGCCCAGTTCCCCAAAGCGTGCTTGTCCCCTGTGCTGTGGGCAAGAGTCAGGGTGAGAATAATCAGTTGGCCACCGTCTGCTTCACGCAGCCCCAGGGAGTTGATGGTGGAGGCTAGGGGCTGGTATCAGGGCATCACCACTCCAGCTGGAGAGGAGCTGAGAGTGAGAGGCCCAGGGCAGCCGGAAAACCAGGCTCAATTCTCACCCTCTGCTGGGATTTGGGTTTCTTTGAGAATCTGATGAAAGCTCCATACCCCAGAAAAATACATAGAAAATCTTGTATGTGCAATTTCAGGGTGTTCGTAGGCTCCTCTACATCCATGGATTTCAGAAGAGTCCTGCGCTTAAGAGTTGGTCTGCACCAGGAAGCAAGACCTCCCTGGACACAGAGGTGCTGATGAATGACTAAATGAATCATGATGGTAATAGTGGCTGCAGCTGCACAACACTGTCCCGAGGGCTTTGTGCCTGATGCTCTTACTGCCCTCCCCTCCTGGTGCTGGTCTTTCTCCTTTATCCCCCTGGGTCCTCCCTCCACCCTGCTCCACCCTGCTCCCAGAAGGCTGACCTTCACAAACTGCAGCACCCAGGGTTCCTGTTGTGTGCGATCAGTGGGAGACATCAGCCGGGGGGTTTGGGGTGGGATACTGAGAGACTAGGAAGTTTATTCCACCACCCTGGGGCCCCTCTCTGCGGGGAAGTGGTTTGGGTAGGGGCTGCATTTCTCTGAAGCCACAGCTCATGCCACCCCCACCCCATCAATGATATCTGCGATCATGTTCTAAGGATACTGACGGAGTCACCATCTTCTTCTCACAGACTGGAAACTAAGGCACAGAGAGGTTAAATCCCTTGCCCAGAAGTTGCAGATTTGAGATTCAAACCCACGAGGCTGGCCCCAGAGTCCATTCCCCTAACCATGTCCCCGTGCTGCTGCCCCTGCAGAACAGCCCATTTCCCAGCACGAGTGGACAATTAATGGGGAAACAAGGGAAAAACCACAGAATCAAAGAAGCGCCTAGACCACTCATGCTGTACCATGTATGGGTGTAACCCTAGGATCACTGACTCCCGCTCCATCCTCCAGTCCCCTACACTGCTCTTCGCTTTGGTTCCCATTCTCTGTCCGTGACCCCTGGGCTGGCCCTAACTCCGCCTTCTCTCTCCCACGAACCCCACATCCGGTCAGGAGCTACGCCCTGCCAATTTTATCTCCATTCCATCATGGCTCCCACATTGGTCCTCATTCCTCCATTTCCATTTATCTCCATTCATAATCTGGTCACTTATGATCTGGGTGACCTTGAGCAAGTCACTTAACTTGCTTTGCCTCAGTGTTCCCATGTCTAATAACGGTATCTGCTTCACATGGTTGTTGTGAAGATTGACAGTGCAGGCATCCAATAAGTGCCACGTACATGTCAGCAGTCCCTCTAGCTATTGGGCCCCCACCCTGCTTCACCTCCACGACCCGCATCTAGGCCGTGCAGTAGCCGCCCAATTGGACTCCCTATCTGAAGCACCCAGGCACCCCTAGCCCAGCCTGCACTCTGCTCTAGAGTGACCTTGCTATACTGCTCTGTAGGACACTCCTGGGTCTCTTTCTTTATTGCCACACACGGCCTGGATCAAAGTTTTTCCCAATCAAGCCTGTCTGTGCCTTCCCACATCCATCTCCTGCTATAACCTCATCTACCTGTCTACTAGAACCCAGATACTATAAACAACTTTTGGGAACCTTTCTGTCGAAGGAATCTTTTGCAGAATCCCAATATACAGACCTGCTAAAAGTGTAATCGCTCTGGTCAGGGGACCCTCCTCAGCCTTCCCTGCCTCCACTGCAGCCCCAGAGCCACCTCCCAGGGCTACATGACCAAAGCATAGTGTGCAAATATTGCTCCAGGCCCACATGCTGCGACATTACCTTCCAACTTCCTAGCCTTTGCTTGGGCAGCCACCATTGCCAAATAGGCTCTCTTCTAACCCCGTCTTCCCAAACCCAAACTTCTCTTTAAGGTGCAATTCGAATGTCCCCTCTCTCCCTGATTTCTTGCAGCTCCCTGCTCTGTTTCTACAATTCCGTTGCCTCTCACCCTCGGAGCATTAATCACATCCTGCCTAGTAGCATGGGTATTTGTGTCCCTCTGTTATCTCTCCCACGACACTGGGAGCCTCTCGAGGGTAGGGTTCACGCTGGGCACTTTGCTGCCTTCCCCGCGATATCTGACCATGGCCTCTCTACTCCTTTGGCTCACACTGCACCCTGGCCAAGGCTTAGGTCCTGCCATGTTCTGAGTAGGATAACAGATGTGGCCAAGAGCCCAGCTCTGTTCTGTGACCTCTGGGAAGTTGCTTCACCTCTCTGTGCCTCAATCTTTCAACTGTAAAATGGGAAGAACAACAGTATGTTTTTCATAGAATTATTTTGAGGGTGAGTCAAAATAATGTATAGCAAGTGTACAGCACCATGCTGGGCCCATAGCGAGGGCCCCAAACATGTTAGATGTTATCAGAGGGGGGGAAGCCAATGCAACGGAGTGATTATTCTCAGTTGGCCCTACAGCAGAGACTACAAGTTGCTCACACACCCTGTTTCCTCATCCTCCAGGGCACACAGCTAGGCTGCATGTCTCTTGCAGTTGGGTGAGGCATGTGACTGAGCGCTGCCAATCGTATATGAACGGAGTGATGAGCGTCACCTCCAGGCTGACCCAGAAAGACCACCATGTGATCCTCTGTGCTCTTTCTCCATCTGCTGGCCAGGTGCAGAGGATCTGGGGCCCTAGAGGAGGGCAGAGACATAACACGGAAGGAGGCTGGGTCCCTGATTGACCAAGTGGAAGAATGTTTGTCAGTCAGAAACACTTGATTGGATTTTACTTGAGTGAGAAGGAGATTTTTTATAGTTTTGAGCAACTAAGACTTGGGGGTTTATGTTATCACTGCTAAAATTACCTAACTAATTTGGGCCAAATTTGCTCAACATCACTGAAGGCTCATTTCTCCTTAGGTTGCTGGGCACTGAGTCCCCTGTGGCTGCTGCCAGCTGCCCCCTGGGGATCAGGATGTCAATCACTTGGGGAGTGACTCACTTGAAGAAGCCGAACATTCCTAGCCGGTACTGGATCGTCACAACCAGCACGTCCTCGTAGGCAGCCACGGCGGACCCATCAAAGATGGATGCTGAGCCAGTCTCAAAGGCGCCCCCAGGGAGCCACACCATGACCTGAGGACGGGAGAGGAATTTTCTAGTCAGCCTGTCGGGCACCCGCGCCCCCTCCCCATGCACGTTGAGACATTCTTTCTTTAAAGAAATATAAATGTCTCACTTTCCTTTCCAAATAGCATCAGAGGTTTCATCTTGTGGAGAAGGCCAGGGTTAAGCATACGAATGCCTGAGTCTGATTCCTAGCTCTGCCACTGACTAGCTGTGTGACCTGGGACAGCTTACTTAACCTCTCTGAGGTTCTTTTTTCTCATTCACAAGATGTGAAGAATGAAAATATTCCGTTTATGAGGCTATCATGAGGTTTAAATAAAATTCTGCACTTAAAGTTCATAGGACAATGTTGACACATCTCAAGTGCTCAGAAAATGTTAACTAAATGTCATTGAACTTGTGACCCACGTGAAGATGGAAACCACTATAAGTCATGTCTGAGAGCAAAAGCTGCTTAAACTGTTTTAATCTAAGACTTTTCCCTACTTACAGAGAGAAGAGAAGAGAGGAGAGAGTATGGGGAAGAGAAGTGTGGAAGCTTTACCACAGTGATTAGAAAAATTTGGACCAGGGAACATAAAACATCCAAATGGTATTATCATGATTCATATACTTAACAATAAGTCCCTTTTATTCTCTATTTTAGGTCATATCAGTGATTACAACTCCTGGGGCAGGAAAAAAAAAATCACTGAGGGTAAAGGAGAAGTGGACAAAACATTGGCTTTGACATCCGGATCTACCACTTACTGTGTATATAACATGGAGCAAGTCGCTTATGTCCTCCCTATGCCTCATCTTCTTCATCTGTGGAATGGGTCCAATAATCCTTACCCACTGGGTTATTGTGGGGGTTAGATGGAATAATGTACTGTGCCTGGCAGGTAGTTAGCCCTCAATAGGTGTTGCTGTTATGATACAACAGAGCGAGTCTCCTGTTTCAGTGACATGGGGGATGGAGGATGACGGGGGAAGGGTGTGGTTAAAATTAGGTGGTAGAATGCGTCTTCTCCATTCACTGATACAGAGATCTTTTACATTCTTAAGTGAAATAGTTCACATTTTTACCTGACTGTCTTCACTGCAAACAGAAAATTTGGGGAAGGCAATTATCCTCCTTAAAAAAGAATTTCCCAAGCAAACAACAAATCAGAGTCCTTCTAAGCAGAGTCTTTTCTGAATGTTTACAGACCATTAAATACCCAGCAGAAGGGGAAAAAACAAAACAAAAACCAAAGATTAAGTCACTGCCAATAAAGATGCAATCAGAAAAGAAGATAAAGTGAATCTGTCATTAGAATGATTTTTTAAAGAAAGTTATTGACATGTCAAGTGATTACATTTCCCTTTTACCCAACAGGGGTCTAGGTCTTATTCCAGACACATAGCCCCTCCGCCTGGGTCCCAGGCCCAGAACCTGCCAGCTAGAGCCCCCAGCATGGTAGGCAGCCTTACGGGGAGCTTGGAGCCAGCATCTGCATGGGCTGGTGCGTAGATGTTAAGGTACAGGCAGTCTTCTGACACTCTGAATGTGGGGTAATGCACCTTGAGGATGTGTTGATCTGAGAACAGCCACTCTGAGTTCTGGAGGCACCTTGGAAAAGGGGAGGAGAAACCCCTAGGGTTGCTGTCAGCAAACTTGCCTGGGAGGGGCCAGTTCTTGCGGCCCAAACAAATGAACTATAATTCTCTTTGATCTGGTTTCTGGTTAAGAAAGCACACTGTGAAGAATAATTGCAGCTCCCACCCATGCCTACCCCCACTACCATAATCCAGACACACAGACTCAAGCTGGCTCAACAATCCCCCAGACTGTAGAGGGCAGGACACTAAGTTGTGTATCAATCACTTTGCTCTGACAGCTCCCTCTCTGCTCCTAGAGGAACAAAAGGACATTTCCAGGCCTTGCCACCAGGAACCAACTGAGGTAGACTGGCAAGGATATTCCTGCATTTAGGTCTTTGCTTCAACTGATCCCTCTGTCCAGACTTCTCTCTCCCCAGGTCTATTTGTTCATGTTCTTCCCTTTCAGATTTTGTGAAAGTGCCACCTCCTCCAGGAAGCCCTCTGAGATTTCCCCAATTAGACCACAGCTCTTTGGAAATACCTACATATTTTGTGTTCTTTCCTAGAACCTCTCCTAGGGAGCAGCTAAAAGCCTAGGGCTCTGTAGGAGTCACCTCGGTAACTTTTAGCCCCTAGCACCAAGCCTGACGCATAGTAAGATTTAGCGAGATTGTATATGTAAATATGTCTACCGAGTGCTCAGTTAATGTCTGTTGTTCTTTTAAAGAATAGTGTACAGATTAGGCAGCAGGAAACTGTTGCTGCAAATCCACTCCCTCACAAGCATTTATGCCATTTTGTTCCTTTGTACGTTGTGTCTCAGAAACTGAGGCACGCTGCTTTCAATAAAGACATCCCTGACCTCCTCCAGTGCTCCCTTAGCACCCTTCTCTGCCCCCCTAATGCTTGCCTTTGTCATCCTATACCTTAATTGTCATTATTGTTTATGTCCTGACTAGCACCACCAGTCTGCAGGTTCCTTGAGGGCAGCTGTGTCTAACCCATTTTAATGGCCCCCAGGACCTAATGGAGAGCCAGCTATTGAGTTGGTTCTCAGTAGATACAAGTTGAACGAATGAATGAATAAATGAACAGACGAGGTTCAGCTTATTGCGCTGGGTCTCTGGGTCACATGGGGTCTTCTGCGGCTTACGGAGTCTTCTGGCATCAGGGTAGTCCTTCTGCCTGGGACCCCAATGCCAGTAATCAACATGGCCCAACCTGAGGGCTTTACAGAATCTGCGAGTCAGAAGATTCTTGGCGAATTCCAAGTGTTATCTCCCGCCTAATGCATGAGGCACCTCCACAATTTAACTGGGAACTAGTCACCAATCTAAATTTGAAAATTTGCAATGTCTAGAAGCTCCTGCCCTCCCATCTCCCCTGAGTCACAGACTCACACTCATGTATCCATTCCACAGGTTTTTATGGATTCCCGACTGTGGGCCAGGCCCTGCGCTGGGCACCATGGTGGCAACTAGAGTTAAAATTCCTCTGGTGTGATTCTCACTCTAAAGCCCTTACTCAGTATGACCATGGAGATTAAGCCTGGGGGAGAGTTCACAGGGAAACACTTCAACAACCCCTTCTAACCAAAGAGTCAGTAAGCCCATCACACTGGTTCCCAAACCTGACTGGGCCTCCGAATCCCTAGAGAGTTTCCTTACAGTCAAGTTCCCAGGCCCAGCTCTGGGGATTCAGATTCAGGAAGTTGGGAAGGGAGCCCAGGGAATCTGCATGTTCTAAACAAGGTTCTAGCAGTTCCCCTCCCCAGCCAGATAGGGAGCCTCACCCACATCTGTAGCCCTCCACATCCTCCTCACTGATGCCCTGACCCCTTTCCCCAGTGGGCTGCCAGACCTTTATTCCCCCTCAATGCTCTGCCTCTACTCCCAGGTCACAGGCCACGCACAGGACAGAGCCAGCTCTTACAAGTTAGGGTAGGATGTGGCATCTTGGAAATCATTCCAGGGTGATGCAGGCTTTGGTTTTGCAAATCGCCGGGGTCCGACAGGGGGCGCAGCATAAGGGATTCCAAGGAACACGTTCACGGGCATGTCATTTCCCAGCACAGTAGCTTGCTTCCCCCGGACCCACCCCAGCCTGGTGTTCCTCACTGGTGCATCTGCAGCTGGCCCTGAGGAGACACATAGGATGAGTCAGAAGCTGGCTGGGAAGAGGCTGAACTCAGAGCTCCCCGCAGTGGGACACTTTTTCTCAACCCAGAGGCTGTACAAGTATCTGAATTCCCTCTCAATGAACACCATGTCAATTGCTTCCTTTCAAATTCCCTTAGAAGTCATCTGCATCAGAACATCAACTTAATTTCTCCTAGGAGCACAGCACCAAGCTACAAAATTCCCCTTTGTTACCTTGGGAACACATCTTCCTTCTGCTGCACAAAGGCTTTCCCTTACCACGGAACTGATACACGCCAGCCTCTATAGATTCTGGGACTCCACAAAATCTTCTGGCCCAGAGTTTCCCACTTTTTAGCCATTTTCACACCTACTAGTGCAATTGCTGGCACGTCTGTACATCACTCATGTGACTGACATTTTACCTGTCTTAAAATTAAATTTAAATAAACTTTAAAATTTTTACTTAGAGGAATTCTAAACAATAACATGTATGGAATTGTGGTTTTGGTAACTGAGGTGTATGCTTCTGAATACATATTAAAATACATATACAGCAATGAAAATAAAAAAATTCTCATGCAGATGTCACCTGACATCAGCTTATCCACCTCCAGGGGTGTGAGGATGACACTTTGGGAGACTAGGAAGCAAGCTTCTGAGTTTCCACATTGAACAGGGAGCCCTGAGAAGTCAGCTGCCCAGCTATTTACTTAGCAGAACTCAGATGTCTCAGCACTACCTGCTGTCATGTCATTTCAACAGCAACAGCCCTGCCTGGGCAGTTGGCATTACAGAAGCATGGGCTCCAGCCCACTCCCCTCCCCAGTGCTCAGGACAGAGGGCTCTCTAAGCCCCGGCAAGGTGCAAACAACCTCAGGACAGGA